GAATCAGCTTTCTGCAGAAGGCCTCCGCAAGGCTGGACGCCGTCAACGCTTTCAAAGGCGTGTAGAGCAACCACCCAAACTCGCAGCATAGAGTTTGATCTGAGGAAGTTTGTCAAGCCAAAGACTTTGACATGGGAGTTTCCTCAATGGCTGACGGTCCCTTCAAAACAAAAAGCAAAAACACCAGAGGTTTGTTTGTTGGAGCAAACAAATCAGGCTTCTTTCCACGGAAGATACAAAGGATGGCAACATGCTGCGCAAAATGCAGGGATTGGTCAAAAGAACATCCCCACCAAGCCCTGTGAGGGAGGTTCTAGCAAACCTCCACCTGAGGTTTGGTCAAAATGGTTCTTTTGGGAGGGACATAGGGCGGCTCAGAAAATGTCCGCCACAAAAGCCAGGAGGACTCACTAAATGTTCTGACCAAAGCAAGGGGGACACCAAATTTGCTACAAACACCACGCGGACTTACACGTTTTTGCCACAACCACCAGGGGCCACTTAAAACAGTGTGAAGTCACGTGTGTTTTTTCCAGAAACGCCAGGGGACACGAATTGTTCCACGTAAAAAAGAAAAAAAGAAAAGCAAGTGAAGTCACGTGTGTGTTTGTTTTTTTTGCCAGAAACGCCGGGGGACCTACTTGTTCATGAAACAATGTGAAGTCACGTTTTTTTTCTTTTTCCGGAAACGCCGGGGACCCTACTTTTTCCACTCGAAACAATATGAAGTCACGTGTTTAATATATATATAAACAAACTCAGAAACGCGGGGCGACTCACTAAAATGTACCATGTCCCCAAGCGGAACCCTAAGGTTTTTGTGACTGCTCACGAGGTGCTGGAGCTGTGCTCGCGCTGCGAGAACCTCCGGATCTTGAAGCTGTACAAGAACGCGGGGGCCCCAAGCGGCAAGTTGATCGGATGGCCAGGAATGGTTGCAATTTGAATTCAGGGTCCCTTCAAGGGTACAAGTTTGGGTCTCGTTTTTTCTTTGGGAACCTCCAAAATTGCGGTTTTCCCTTTGGAACCACCCAAAAATGGTACCTTCAAAAACGATACCCATTTGGGCCGGTGAACAAATCACCTCCAACTCACGAAATCAGGATATCCCGGATTACAGGTGGGTTTGGATCACCGGGTTTGGAACACCAAGTGAGTTGAAGCCAAGTCGGGTGATGTGCTCAAGTTGGACATGTTGCGAAATTATTATTTTCTCATGGTTGCAAAACCGTCGCTGGACACAGCCCATGAGGTCCACCCAAAGTCCCCAATTTAAGATCATTGGTGGAACTGAGGGTTCGAATCGAAGTTTTGAGCGGATCTAGTGTTCTCTCAAAATCTCCTTCAGGCTCATTTGTCTCTTTACTGGCATGTTGATCTTCTCATTCAAAAAGCAGTTGCTGAAGGATTGCGCATCAAAGCATCGGGTCATGTTCAACAGGCTTACCTTTGAATAAGAGTCCCCTTGGGATAGCGACTAAGGGCAAACCCAACGGAGCCAATTCTGCTGAGGGGGGTCCAATTTTCAACTTTTCCAACAGCCATGTAAAGCCTGAATTTGGGACAGGAGTGTTCGGCTGATGTAGAGTTCTCCGTTGGATCAGCCTGATCTCGTCTTCTGTCTTTTCGAGTCCGTTTGTTTGACCGGTTTTTAGGATTGCCTCTGTTCTCACCCTGATAGACCCGCCAACCAACCCGTCCGCCTTGTGGCCATGTCATTCACCTCAATTTCCTTCTTTGGGAGCCTCCAAGGTGCCAGTTTCATTAAACCGCAGCCCATGTACCAGTGGCTCGGCCAGGATATCACTGACGATGGGGCGCAGGCTCGAACTTCTGGGACGCCGGAACTCCAATGGGCCTGAAAAGGAGATTGCAGTGTCAGCTTTGTTTGGGGACACTCACCTTGCCCTGATTTTTCAAGGGAAACCAAAGGGAAACCGCTGCAAAGAAGGGTGGATCCCTAGATGTGAGATTCACCATGTTTTCAGGGGGGAACAGCCCTGGCCCCTTCTTGTTTTGTGTTTGACATGAAACTAATGAGGGAACAAGATCGAGGGCATTTGACAGCGTATTGCTCAGCCAATACTGGTTCTGAACCACCACTAAAATGAAAACCACGGGGCAGGCCGCGGCTTTGGCAATTGGTGTTCTTTTGGTGTCGGGTGTGGCTCAAAATGTGTATCCCCACAAAATGGATCGTGTCCTTTTGGTTTCCCTGTACCACTCCAGAAGGGGTTCTGAGCAACTACACAAGGGCATCCTTTCCCCTAAGCCTAGGATAGTGCTTGATACACACAGCTTCCCCGACTCCGGGTTACAACGATCTGCGCGCGCAAAGTTGAATCCCTTCCTGCCGGCTCTTCCCGAGAACGTGGCGTACCAAGCCCCGAAGAGGAGAGCCCCTCACATTATGTGCCAACGAATATGCGATACATCCCGATGTTCCTTGGGCACGAGGAACATGAAGAGATGGCACTCTTTGTCCAGTTGGTGGCCAGCAAAGAGTTCTTGTCAGACTAGTCTAGGCCCACTGATTTCCACGGAACTGCCTCATGGGTAGCCGCTTTTTGCGGGGGCAATAGCGACCCAGATTTCAGTGGCTTCGGGCACGGCGCCAAAAATGGTGTCAGGGAGTTGGGAGGGGCCTCTGCCCCTAGAAACGGAAGCTGGTTTGTCAACCAAGACCCTGCGGACTTCCTTAAGTTCGGAGGACCCCGATTTCGCGGTTTGACCCGCGTGTGGGTCTCTGGGTCCTCCCATCGCTTTTGGTCACGGGGCCAACCTCTGGGAAGCCTTGTTGTTTTGGCAGAAACCAGATTCGTCAATTTGCTCGTAAAATGATATTTTATACCTGTTCCTGGTGGTTTGGAAGGGAAACTACAACTATTGGACATGTTTATTTTCTTTCCAGGGGGCTTAAGCAATTGGACGGATTTCACAGAGGCCTACAGAAGTCGGTTTGCGATTTGTACACGGGCCGCCCCCAAGCTTTTCCTTGGGCGGGGGGCCAGGCAAGATACACCGCCCCTTAGGGTGGCCCCCATTGGTCTAGGGTTGCCTTGGATCGTGGTGGCAATGTAGCTGTTGGGTGTGTTTGGTATTTAGGCTATGCCTTTCTCGTGGTTTTACTCTGTAATTTACAGGGACCAACAAAAAAAGCAAAGTCATTTTGGAGGGTCCCCCAAAAATAGACGCGCCACCCATGTGCGCTCTCGCAGATCAGCATGGAACCCAAAAAGTATCGGTCCCCCAGTAGTGCCCTTTTCCCCTTTTTGGGGGGAGGGTTCCCCTACTAAAATAGACTACAGAAAAAGGGTACCCTTATTCTAACCTCCTTGCTGGAGGACCTAGCAAAAAGTCTTTGGAATTAAGACAGCCGGGTCTTGGGGGGTCAACCAATTGTCATGTTTGGTGTTTTGGTGTGGTGGAAACTGGCCTCATTCTGTCACCATGACCAATCTCCTTCGGTGGGTGAAAGGGGCACAACAACCCATTGTCTGACTTTGACCCACCAGAACCACTCCAAAAAATATAATCAGATTCATAGCTGACCTTTTTGGAAAAGCTCATCGACGGGCCCGGCAAGAGTTTAGACCCCCAGCGCCATCCGTTTCTGGCGGGTTTTTGGGGTCGCTCCGGTTGGGTTTTGATCCATAGGCCTTGGGCCGCTTCGTGCGGTGCTGCGAGACCATGGAGGAGCTCCACCTGTCGCACAACCGCTTCACCGCCCAGCCCTCGGGTCTTCGGGTGTTCGGTTCGTGCGAAGCCAAGTAAAACGGCCAAAACAGGGGCGGTGCCTTAGAAACCGGGGGGGGGGGGGGAGGTTCTTTTTTTTTTTTAGCAAAGTGACAAGGAGCAGGAAACACCTGGATTTGGCTTAGCCACTGAAACGTCCTGCCTTTTGGATAGAGGGAAGTTCCAAGAGTGGAGATGCAAGGAACCTTGTTTTGGAGCTTGGGACCCCAACACCGAAACGCCCGGGTGGGTTAGTAATCAGAACACGGAACAAGGTGAGTGTGGGGCGCTTGATGGGTGTGGGGCGCCCCTTGCCTTTCTCTAAACATCCCCGCCCAAGTCACCAGCTCGTTGGACCACTGAAATGGCGACTCTGCGCGTGGGGACTTCAGATAATTTGAGCCAACAGATATCAGGAGAACATGCTCAGAACTCCACCATTTCTTGGGTTGTGTCATTTGCGGGGTTGCCTATTTTGGGGGATTGATAACTCAAATCACAATTTGTGTTCAACACCCCCCCCTCAAAAAAAAAGCAGACAGAAGCAGGGTAGTGTCCTTTGACTTTTCTCAAACGACCGGGGCTCCACAAAAGACGTCAAACATGTGGACAAAATCCTGCGCCGCTGGATGACACCCCACATATTGGGATAACACCCACCAGGATTTCGTCGGATTTCTATCGCTAAGGAGCGCGGCGTGGAGGTCTTAGTGAAGGCCGCTGAAGAGGCCGCACGAAGGGGGGCGGGGGCAGAAGTTGTACTGGGAGTTGCTTTCAAGGGCTCAAGAGCCTTTCGGACCGTTTGACCCTTTTTCCATGATTTGGTTTCCACTTGCGGGTTCAGGTCCCCAAGGGTGATCACCTGTTATTTCCAGGTCCTTTGGGCAAGGACTTAGGGCATGCAGTCTTGTCCTGGAGAGTCTTTTGAGCAGCCCCCGAAGCCCAAAAACCCTGCCAAATGATCGCCATTGCCAAAAGCAAAAGAAAAGAAACGGGAATCCAAGGAAAGGGAATCAAAGAGATGAATCAGTCAGCTTCGAAAGCAAACTGTGGTTGATACGTTGATCGTGGGTTGCTCCTTTTTCCAGAGTACCTGTTTAACATCGAGCTATCAGGAGCCTGTGGCAGTTGCACTTGTTGTCACCTAGTTACCCTAGTTGACAGTGTTGACGCTCTGCATGTTCTGAAAATATGATGTTCAGGTCTTGTCCCAATGTCTCTTCCCAATCAAACTAAAGACCAGCAGAGGCCAGATGCGCAAGAACCATTGGTGCGGCTGTGTCTGAAAGTGATTTTGGATAAATCTAAATGGAATCCTGGAGAAACAACCCACTTGGAGGGCCCTTCCAGCATTTTAAGAGTTGGACACAGTGGTGGTCGGCTGTTGTGTCAACTTGGAACGTGGCGTCAGATGATCGCAATCTTTGCACGAAACTGCAAGTGGACATGGTTATGGACCGACAAACACCATATGGGGCATGTTCAAGGGCATGGACCCAACAAGCAATGGCAGATACTAGCAAGCCATGTTGAATTCCCAGTTTTGATCATCCAACGGCTGCTCGTGGCTGCCTAGTCTTCAAATTGGGAGTTTCAAACATCGCAAAATGAAAGACCTAACGCCTACTTCGTACGTTCGAGCGTTTCCCCTTTCCAATCAGAAATGCAGGTCTGCGCTTTGTCTTTGGAAGCCCGCTGGGCCAGCGAATGAAATCAACCTGTGTGTGTCTGGATGTTTCCGCGTGGTTTCCTGAAACCGGCTCGGACATTTGTGTGTACTGGTCACTGACGGCATGCTCTTTTGCATCTGCTTGACTTTTGCTTTCAGTTTCAGATGGAGATAGTCACTGGTGGATAGCCTTTGGTTCTTAGTGGCATTTGTGCAAATGGACGGAAATCAGCAGGAAGTTGTCGTTAAAAGAAAAAGCCTGCGCAATGGGACCCCCAATCGAGCCGCACCCAATATGCCGAAAGTTGGGGGCAATAAGGGGTTCTTATTCCCTTTGCCAGCACCCCCCCCAATGGCTGGCCAATTGCCGGCACATCGATTTTGGGCACAACGATGTCACTATATGTCTAAGTGACTGCAAAAGCAATTTGCTATCAAGTATCACTCATCTGTACTTAGTGCAATTTGTGCAATGATACAAGTGACCTTTCAGGGTCCTTTGGAATGGGGTTGGAAAGGGGAGAGCAGCAAATTTGAGGTTTGGAGGGCAAGTTTGAGGTTGGGAGGGGTTCTTGAGGAGCGTGTCACGGCGTGTCGTGGCGTGTCGGGGGGTGGCCAATTGCCGGCACATGTACGTTGAACGGTCACTTTTTTTTCTTTTCTTGGGGATAACTTCGCCAGCTTGCGATACCGCATTTCAGAGTCTGTCGTCACTTTTAGACCAGGGTGGTCACCCGCTTCCCGCTCGGTGAATCGCCAGGCGCGGCGCCACGCGAAAGTGCCCATGTGGGTCCGCCTCGAGCAGAACGATGTGAGTAACCCGGAGAAGGCACTCGGCACTCGCCGCTCGCGGCCCGCAGTCATGGTTGGTTTAGTTGGTTTAGTTGGCTTAGTGCTTGAAATCCCCACTTAACTGCTTTTTGTTATCCCCACTTAACTGCTTAAAACATGTTTTTTGGTGCTCCCCTTCCAACGTCAACGAAGGATTTGGTGTACGAGGATTCCCTTCTTGGGGGCGCGCTTCTGGTATATCGCACATCTCCAGTTTGATGGACCTGGCGCTTTTCGTTTCTTTTTTTTGTTAAGATATTTCCAGGGACGTTAGGGTGACAAAGAAGTGACTGGGTGTGGACCCCCCTTGCAGCACGATACCAGAGTGCCGAAACCTCAACACATACTCACAAAATGGAGATCATGGTACATACAATTGACCAGGTTTCTTCAGTTAGCTTCGGGCAGTTGATAGGTTGCTGTTTGCTAGGTTGAGCCAGGACGCCATAACCCTGCGCACTGCAGATCAGATTTTGCCATGTTGCTGAACCTGATGGAAGCTCCCTTTGCTTGGTGGTCATTTTTGTGAGCTAGTCCCTTTGGGTTTAACACTTGAGCAATGACTGGTGCAATTCGATGCAGGTCAGAGCGCATTAAGTTTACGCCCCTGGCTCTGGCCGCTTTGAGCAGAAGCGTGGCTCTTGGTCCCGCAAATCAACGCAGTTCCTCTTTGCGGCATCGAACATCCTTTGGGACCCCTATGCTCGCTTCCAAGAGCTTTTCTAGACTTGAGGCCAATCCTTTGTTCCCCATGTTGCATCCTTTTCGGCACCCTGCGAGCGGCTTGACACCCCAAGCAGGGCATCACTGGCGCAAAAAAGCTCAGGTGATATCCGGTGCTCTTATTTTGAGTGCTCGCACCACCTCGCAGCCCTCGCAGAACCTCGTGGAACCCTCGTGGAATCCTGGTGGAACCCTGGTAGAACCCTGGTGGAACCCTCGGTCGTGGAACCTTACCTCAGGGCCGCCCCGGACCACCCCGGAGCCTATCTGGGCTGAGACCCCAAGCGTCCCAAACCCTTGCAGTTTGTCATCCGAGATCCAAGTGCTTGTTTGTGCGATAGGACTGATTCTGATGAATGCGGTTGACTGTGGGAGGTGTTTCCCATGTTGGAGCCAGTGGAATATTCATAGTTGAGTCATTGCTGATACTGTGAGTATGTGCCAGGAGCGCTTGCAACATGTCATCCGTTAAACTTTAAACGTGTTGTTGCCCATTCCATGCTTTGCCTGTTCTTCTGGTGCTGACAGTTTGCTGGGAGGCTAATGTGCAGATGAGCATTGCTGAGGGTCGCTTTCAGAGCATGGCTGCTTAGGTGCACACAAATGCTGGTGGCCAGAAGGCGAACAGGCTACAACCACCATACGCAAAACAACTCCAATGAAGGTTCGGGTTGTTTTGTTGGGAGGCTGTCCGGCCCCTGTCTTCAGCTTGTTAGATAAGCCACGGACCACTTCCATTCTGGGCGCTCTGTTGACATCATGCGAAAAATTAGAGTGCGCAGGTTGGCTTAGAATCGGTTGGACGAAAGATGGAACTGACATGGGGGTTTGATCAATATTCCTGGCCCCCGGATGACCGTGGGTCACTTTTCCCTTTTAGTGGGAAATATTATTGTTTTTGTGGTTTCCCCCAATAGTCATCCCATGTAAAAAACCTTGTTGATCAGCCCCCACATGGAACCCTGAAATAGAGTTTGTGGAACACTATGTCTATGTTTAGTCTTTATCTTTTCTGCCAATCTGAGGGTAAATCGAGGGATCCCAAGCCTGATGTGCAGACATTTGGTTTCAGATCCATCGCTTCACATTTTGGGAACTGCTTCCCAAACAGCCTCCATCGGCTTTCCTGTTCAACATCCCCCCTCCCCCCCCCCCCGGTTTTTCGGACCACCCCCCAACTCTCATATATGTTGCGGAGCACATGCCGCCGTTGCCCAAACTTTTCCGCTGGAGGTGATGGCAGACCTGCAGGACCGCTGCAGTGCAGGGGAGCCCCAGTGCTCAGATGCGCCCGCACGATTGATGATCAAGCCCAAAGCATTTGGGATTGACTAGGTCCCTTAGTAGTGCCCTTTTATCCTTGTTTGGGGGAGGCTTCCCCTAAATAGACGACAGAGAAAAGGGTATTCTTATTCTAACCTCTCTACGGGAGGACCTAGTTGAAATGATATGATATGATTTATGATATTCACGGGGCTTATGGGGTGAGATTGCCTCAGGGCCTTTCCGGATCCTGAGTGTGTGCAGAAGACATGGGCTATTGGTATGGGCCCCGAAATTCACGTCAGGCTGTCCAATGGCCCGTGTTTCTCGAGTGCAGAACTGGCCGTTGCGAGGTTTGCCCGCGGAAGAACCGCAACAAGTGCACCAACCGCGTCTGCATACACAACTGCAAGGCCTCAGCTGGCTGTCCTTGTCGTTCTGCTTCTCACTTCCTGAGTTGCTGGACTTGAAACTGTTTGGGACGATCATTTTAGTGGTAATCAACAAGTTCATACTTGTTTCACCAATCCGCTCAGGAAGCGAGTCGTTCGGTTGTGGATGAAGTGGCTTTCCCTAAGCTGAGAATGATGGGCCGGTGATGGTTCAAGTCGTGGCTTCGAATGATACAAGCGAGCTCTTCATAACCCTTGTTGGTACCTCCCATTTAAGAATCTACCATATGGTACATACCTCTTTGGGAGGTAGGAACAGCAGCGTGCCTTTGCTCATTCCCCAGAAGTATGTGAACAGGTTGTGCAACACACTCGGAGACCAGTCCAAACTCCAAATGGATTGGGGTGTCCAAAACTCTGAGTTGAGGACACCTTTGGATGGTGATTGGGGAAACAACCCGCCGATTTCAAGAATCCCCGGCCAACTTTTCCGGAAGCACCCCCAAAAAGTCCAAGGCGTAGAAAACATGGGTTTGGTCTCCAGGCTCTCGTTTCCTTCTGAGCCAATGTTCCACCGGCTGCGCTAGGGGTGGCCTGCAAGGCTCCTGGAACTTAACTGCACCATTCAAATTGCCACAATTTGTTTGAACACATATATGTATATATATATATATACACATGTGTATGTATATCGGGGATGATGGGTGCGCCAAATGTACCGAAATAGAACTTAATCTCCAAACCGTTCCTTTGAGAAAGGGAGCCGATGTTTGAGCGTAGACCATGTTTTGGGAGGCGAATGACAGACTTATGTTTGATCAAAGGCCACCATGGCCCGGCATGAGCTGAGAAAGCCTTCCTCGCATCCCAAGAGCTCTGCCTTGCCTGACCGCCAAGTTCGCAGCGCGCTTGATGTTTGTTTGTTGCGCGGGGTTTCCTGAAAGGAAGCCATGAAAGTGGCAAAAGGGTGGAATTTCGGAGGCACAGGTCCAAAATTGCTAGGATCAAGGATGCGAGTGGGGGCTTCTTTTGCTTCGTAGCGCTGCCCTTTTTTTGCCTCAGAGTACTCCGGACACTTGTCAGGGGAGCAACCTTGAGAACCGTCCTTGTGAAAATCCGAAGTGAGCATTTGTCAATACCCAGTGAGCAAATGTCAGTTTTCAATTCAGGACCAGGACTCAGTCAGCTTGCTGGCCATTTCAAGGAGAGTGCTTACATCTGTTGCAAGGACTTGCGTGCCTTGTCTTGAGCACTGCATGGCCCGAACTTAAGGTGAGAGGACGACTGTTTCATCTGTTGCTCCGGGCCATTTCTTTCAGAAGCTCGTGACTTTGACGATGTGGGATGTGCTATTGGCGGGATGTGCGCTCGTCCACGCAGCTGAAAGAAGGGTGTTTTCTTCATGCTTGAAGCCTTGCGGCCAGTATGCGCGCACGTCTTCCGCGGCCAGTCTGCTCAAGGTGCTCTAAATTGCACTTTGATCAAATCCGACAACTCTTGATCCACGGCTAGAATCCGTGCCCGAGATGTCCTGTGCTAGCATTGACCCCCGACGTGCCCTGGCTGGAACCAACGCTTGCCGTTTCGGAAGGTCAAGCTGGATTGGCGAAACGCCACGTAGCACTTGTTGTTACAAGACTCCGGATCTACCTTAAAGACTCTGTGGCTTTCTCAAGTCGGATGCCCCTCGAAACAACTTGGCAACACGCTGCACGAGAAGCTGGGCTGAGGCAATCCTAAAGCCTTTTGGCCTTGGATTGACTACGGAAGGGTGGGGCTTTCTTGTGGTTTCAGAATAGGAGTTGTGGATTCGGATTAGGCAATCCTCTATGAGCCAAGGCTCTCTAGGCTGATGGATGAATCAATGCAACCCAATCTGGTGAGGGGGATTTCCTGGGATTGTTCAATTTGGAGCTCTTGTTTCCAACAGACGGAACACGGTTTTAGAGGGAAATGCTGACTGACGAATGTTTCATTTGGGTCTGTTGTTTCTTGGTTGGTTGGGAACCCTTTTGGTTGGCTTTTTAGAAGGGAACATACAAGGAACACCATTGCGCCCTTCTTTCTTGGGCGGCGGCGGAAGGGGCGGGGGTCCCTGCGGCCCCAACGGAGCCTAGGCACTTTGAGTGAGTCGCCCTCGGGATCCTCGGGCGCCTGCCGCCCGGAGGAGGACGGATCCACCAAATGGGATCCCATTGGTTTTGACTCACAGCCTTGTGTTTGAGACCAGCTGCTGGGTTTCCCTTTGATTGCAACAAAACCACCTTGGCGCAAACGAAATCCAACGTGTTCGCCTTTGAAACCAGCTTCCGGATTTCCCTACTTGCCTGGGCCAATCTGATGAGACTTGTGATCGGCTGTGCATCTCACGAAGCTGACCCATATGGTTCATATGTCCATTGCTGCTTGATAAGTCTGTGTTACTGCTTTGAGGATGGCGACGTTTGAAATGGTCACCGCTTTTAGTGGGGATTTGTATGCCACCCCGTCTTGGTAGGGCGGGTTGATGAATAACTACTGGGCCTCCAACATGAAACATTTGTTTGACTCCCGAGAGTTGCAATCGGTCGCTTGGGCTTGATTCGAAGCTGCAAGCAGCCGCCTTAAGGAGCGCGAACCAACATTGCCGAACATGCAGAATTGGAGGTAGGTTTGTTTGTTGGGGGGGGGGATTCCCAACTTGCCAACTATGCATACAGACAACAAAAAGAAGCATGGTTTTGGGTACATATTCCTTTGATGCAGAGGTTTGATTGTCAATTTGACTGACCTGGCCATGATTCAAGCAGCTGCCATCACTTTTAGGTAGTGAGAAAGTAGAGGGACCCAGATTGGTCGCAGAAACATCGCCAACTCTTGGTTGAAATTTCGCCCATTTGGAGGAGGAGGATCGGCTCTCCACCGCAGCGCCCTCCATTTGCGAGGCTCGAGTCGGGACGACGCTTGGGAGGTGCGGTTTGCGTGGAAGAGGGGGGCATTTTCCCATGCTGTGACTCCCCAATTCATGTAAATGAAGCACCCCGCTTTTCAGTCTTTTTGGGCACGAAAAATGAAACCAGATGTGCCAGCAGGGTAGTTTGTGGTGAGCTGACACCATCAACCTACATATATACGCCACATCAGACACATGTGCCTGTGGTTCTCACACGGTGCATAGTGGCGTAGTGATGTTGTTAGTCCAGGAAACGCCTCCTCCTTTGAGGAAGGACTTTAGTGGCCGATTTCGCACATCCTCAGGGTGTAGGGCGCTCACTCCATAACCTTTGAAGCCAAGGGAGGCAACATCAGTCTGTTCAAACACCTAAGCCATGGAGCACAATCCCAGCTTCGGATAAATCCAAAGGAGGGACCCTACTCACAGGTATTCCTCCGAACATTGATGAATTCCAACCCAAATGGGAAAACCTGAGTAAGGTGCCTCGGATTCATCCGAGGACAGTACCCTATGGGATGGTAAAAAACCGCTCGCTGAATTCCTGGAGGAGTGGTTTTGTTCAAATCCATGGCCTAATCTTGTGAGTCCCCTCATTTGACCCAAAACATGTGGTCACAAGGCAAAAGCGCGCCCGGGTTGTGTTTCGGCACCCCACCTTTGCACAAGGCTGGCCAATTTCTTGAATCCTCCATTTGTCAGGTCCCGAACCGTTTTCCGCCCTGCGAAGCGCTTGTGTCAGTCCTCTTCCCAACCCCCGACCAACAAGGAACCTCGCCCATCCGCTGGAAAGCGTATTAAGTGTTCACCTTGTTTCCAGGCCGCCTGCTTACGCGGTGCTGCTTAGTGCACTTTGCTCTTTTCAGGGACGAAAAGTAGCTCGAAACCTCAGATTTGGCGTCCATGCCCGGCATGCTCGATGCTTCCGTCCTCGGGCATGCTTGAACATGAACGGAAGGAGCCAACCAAACAGGCGTCCGATCTCAAGATTTGGGTGTTCCACGTTCTTTTTCAGGCAGTGGCAAACAACCCCGAAAGAACCCATCTGATTAACGGAAACTCGTTTTGAGATCGGACCCTTAAACTGCTTGGCAGTTTCGCTGAAGCTGTTGCACGGCCGTCTGAATGCGCGGTCGATATGGCGGATGTGTTGCCCCCATGTCAAATTTGGAAGCGTCATAGAAGCCAAGGAGAAATGGACGCGAGGTGGACACTTGAGCAACTGGAATTCTAGCACTGCTGTTGCTCCAATCCCATGAGCTGGCTTTGGTTCTTGCAGCATTGCAGTTGCAGGGAGGGAGGCGAGGTATGTGACATACGGCCTGGTGCCTGGGTGGCAAACATCAATTTGAGGTCTTCAAAACCTCTAAAAACCGTCCTTTGCTCATCAGTGGTTGCAGGTTGACATGCATAGCCCTCCTCTTGGGCCCGGTTCGGAACCCCAGCTCGTGCTCCCAAAGAATGGTGATCCCATTTGCTCCGCTTGCTCGCAGGATGACGGAAAGGATGCCACCTCAAGCAGCTTGGCAGCTTCAATGAAGCTTGCTGTACCCTTTTTGGGATGGTTCTAGCTGGCAAAGGGCCATTGGAATCAGAGCCAGAGAGCCGCAGAGAGGGGGTAATGCGATCGCATGTTGGTATGGGTTCTTTGCAGCACGGGCTTTGTTGCCCCCCTTTTCAGCGAAGTCTCCCAGCTTGAGTGAACAGATACCCCGGCACAACTGTGGGAGTAAGGCTGTTCTCCCGAGGTGTTCGTCACCGCCGTTACTGCTGAATTGGAGGTTGCAATTTAGCTTCCACACCTTTCCAAGGCGGTGCCATGAGTGCATTGTGAACGATGGTGGGTGGCTGGTTGGTTGAGTCAGGCCAGCTTCTTGCCTTTCGCACACCGTTTTTTTTCCGGCACTGATCGCTCACCGAAGCGGCCTTTTTATACTGGGCCCTGGCCCCGCAAGGGTTCAAGGGTTCAAGGGTTCAAAAGGAGTCCTAAGAATCCGCTTAGGTTCTACCTGGGTAAGAGGACCCTGGGTTCTTCCCCCAGCCCAAGCTTGGAAGCCAACAACCCCCTGCGATTTGCCGCCTTGTTTTT